CATCTGGCTCAGTGGCACATCCACAACTCACCCTCCTCTCCCAAGACAAGCTTTAAAAATCAGGAAGTTCATTAACCCACGCCTAAGTAGTAATTCACACTTAAGTTGTGGAAATATACTCTTCTATTTGGTAATGCAACATCATCAACAAAAATCAATAAACAAGTACAATTCAACATCCTGAAATACAGAGCACCAAAGTTAACAGAAAAACTAGCACTCCTCCTCGCCAGAATAGAAGAGTGTTAGTATAAATATTTAAATTAGATAAATGAATAACAACAGAAATACTCGGGGATATCTCATTCTAAAAACAAGAGTTGGATGCATGAAAAAGAAAGTTTTCTAAGAAATGACAAATATTCCCAGACTCCCTGGGTGGCTAGATAACCAACTCTGTATCTTACTGGTAAGTTATTTAACCTCTCTGTAAAATGGGCATAATAATAGTATCTACTGTAGAGGTTTGTTGTGAGAAATAAAAGTGTTTCTCTATGTAAAATGTTTAGAACAGTGCCCAGCACGTCTATAGTGTTAAAGAGGCCCCATCAAAAGAAGTCGCTGAAAAGACAATGAAGGGTAGAACAGAATAAAGAAGCAAGGAAGAGATAGCTGCTATCTTTATTTGAAAATAGCTTCAGATAGTCAAGTTCTATGGAAAACCGTGTGGGAATATTGGTTGGTATTGCATTACATCTATGGATTATTCTGGAGAGACTTAAAAGTTTTCCATTTTTTAACATTCCTGTTTGTGAAAATGTAATGTTTCTATATTTAGTTCTACTTTAATACCTTACTATAAATTTTGCAATTTTCTACATAACGGTGTTCCATATTTTTTGTTAGATTTATTCATAGCTCTTATTCCCTTTTGTTGCTATTATGTTCTTTTATTGCTCTTGTGAATTACATCTCTTTTTATAATATCATTTGTTTGGGGCTGGTAACTAAAAATGCAATCTAATTTTGAGTATCACTTTTATATCTGTCAAATGTGCTAAACTCTCTTATAAATTATAATAATTTATGTATAGGATTTTTGTTTTTCTATGTAGACAATCATATGATGCATAGATTGATAATTGATAATTATAGTTTTACTTCTTTTCCAATCATTTCACAGTTCTTTCTTGTGTTGTTATGTTGGCTAGGTTTTCTACTATAGTGATGAAAAGATGTGGAGCAAGCACCTCTCATATACCTGACTTTAACAGGAAAGATTACCTTTGAGTGGAATGCTTTTCTAGGTTTTACAAATGCTCTTTAATTACAGCTTAATTTAAATTTTACTGGAATTTTGTTCTACTCCCAGTTTGCAGGGAATGTTTTCCTTTTTCATTTTGTTGAATTGCATATAGTAATCTATTTGAGATATTTTCTTGACATAGATTGCTAACTCCAACTTTTAATTTAATTATACTTGATTGTTTTGAATAAGGTAGATTTTTAATCATTTTCAGTTATGACTATCATTACACTTCAAACATGTTGATAATAATGATAATAACAATAATGATGGCAAATGATGACTTTCATTTAATGATTTTTCTATTATATGCAAAGTCTGGTGAGTGGTTTTGTTTGTTGCATAATTTATTCCTGTTTCTTTCAATGATCTCCGAATAAGTGGGAATCAAAGTAAAATATACTTGTTCCTAGTGCCAGGTAGTAAGTAAAGGTGTCTGGATATAAACGCAGCATTGTATAATATATAGAACCTGTGCTGGTTAGAAGATGCAATACTGTATTTCTTGATAGTTATGAGATTCTCTTTACAATACAAATAGCAATTTAATTGTGTTCATTATCCTATCTGGAAACACAACACCTCAGTGCACTAGCACTCCAATTTTCTTCCACATATTCTCCTAAATATTATATTTGTCACAATTGTTCTTTTTTCTTTCCCATGGAGGCTATCTTTAATAGCATAAGATTTTGCAGCTTTAGCTAGGCATTCCTGGAACTGTAGTTGCTGAAGAAAGGGGCATTGAAACTAGCAAGTAGACTAGAAGAAAGCCATATCTAAGGAGAAAAGCAAGGACTATTTGCAGTACGACAATCTAACACATACTTGAATGTGGTGTGTAGGTAACAAAAGCTGTACCATTCTGCTCAGCTGATAGAAGGCAACAGAGATGATCTTCCAATATGAGCTTGATGATCAGATGACCCTATTTGTTATAAAGATGGTGCGGCGAAACAGGAGTCTGACTTAGAGGGGAAAAAAAGGACTTGCCAATACCATGATGTGGACTTAAGGTTCTGAGCGCACATAACACATTATTTGGGTTCATGGTTTAGAGTGTGTGTGAAAAAGCAGCCAAGCTCCAGAGAAGGACCATTGTCATTTAGCCAAGTTTTTGTTTCAGGATTTTGACTCTTCTAATGTAATGGCTTGACCGCTGCCCCTGAATCAGCTGAATCACTGCTGGTTATTACGAGGTTTGGAGCAGAGCATGCGTGTGAGAGGTGCTTCGTCTGCCAGGACGCATCCTGGCCTTCTAGACTAGAAACGACAGGCTTTCTATGATCACAGGAGGACTGTACCCTGGTGCCCTCTGAAACATTACCCAGAATCAGAGCCAGTATCCTGCTGAGTTGTTATGTGACTAATTATTAATAACAGTTGTTCACGGTTTTATGAAAACAGCTCTAAGGATAACTTTAACAGTTATCAAAGGAGAAATATACACCCTATCTTCTCTAATAATTCTATGACTAAAGCAAAGCAATCTAAAAATCAACCCTTTTCAAAAGGAAAACATAACTTTTAAAAGTGTATATCACAATCTAAGTCAAGGAAATATTTCAATCTGTATTCAAGTGTTTAAAAATTAATTATAGAAATGAAGCAAAGTTGGAATTTTTTCCACACAGAGACAACTAATTTCTATTTCTACCAAATAAAATCAAGTAGAATGCAAGAACAAACAACTCACGAACATTTTAAGATGAAGTTAAAAATTAAATTGCAAAACCAAGTCACATTTTCTGACTTGGATAATAATTCAGGATTAGAAGTATTTGAATTCTAAAGTTGATTATTTATCACAGGGTCCAGAGTCCTTCAAAAATGACTCAGGGAAAAATGTTTTACACAAGAAGGTGAAATTTACATCCCTTCCTTCTCCACAGTGGACTTAGATTATCCATGCTTCAATTCCCAAAGTGTAGCTGGAACAAATCTGGCTTTCTTTTCTCTTCTGACCTCATAATGAATATAATAAAACTTACCTGAAAGAATTGTGAGGAGGAAATTAGTAATAAATAGTAATAAATGAATAATAAATGCTTGGAAAATAGTAGCAAAGACTCCCCAAGACCCAGGCACCTCCTTCAGAATCCTTGATCTCAGTGATGGTTCCCACTCCACCAGAATGCTGGTGTAAAAGGGAAGAACAAATCTGACTCCATATTGAACCTGTTTCTTTTATTTTAACCTTTGTATTCTGTTGATTTTGCTACAGGTTAATCACTAAAGGGATGTTTGTTGCCTGTAAGCTTAAATTATACATAATGGCCCATTATGTGGAACTCTGGGAACCCTGCCTCCCAGGTAATGAGCATTTAGGTTAAGCACCTTTGTTTAGCTCACAGGAAATATCCTGATCAGGCCTACCTGTGAATGACTGCAGGAAGGAAGAAATTAACACATCCCCTCCAGAGGCTGACTGGAAGCAGGAAATGTTTGACTTTACTCCCTCCCCTCTTAGTAGAAAGAAGCGTGAATTCTAACTCAGGCGAGATGGTTCTTTGGGACACTATCTTCTTGGTCTGTTGGCTTTCTGAATAAAGTCACTATTTCTTGCCCCAACAACTCATTCCTCAATTTATTGGCCTGTCATGCAGTGAGTAGTATGAACTCGGACTCGGTAAGACTAGGAGGTGGTTTACTCTCCCATAATGCAGAACAGATGGGTATAAATACTCAAACTCAAAATCAAAAAGAGATCTCCTCGGGGAATAAACTAAGAAGGAATGTAGAATGAGCAGGAGCTTAAGCCAGGAGAGCTCATAGGAGTGCTGCATGAGGCTTACTTCTCCATGGCTGGAGATGGACTCTAATGCTCACATAAGGAAAGGTGTCTGGGTTGCAAGCACAGAGATGCAGGGAGCTGGAAATGAAGCATCCACATAGAGCTGGGAATGTGAAGGCATTGCTTCATCTCTGAGATGAAGGCATAACCACCTGCAAACTCGGGAAGCAGTGAGGATATTTTCAACTATGTAGGAGTGTAGGTAAGAACAAGTCAACCAAAAGAAACTGAGAAAGGTTAGGCTCCACTGTGCCTATGTCGGTGTTCCAAATCCATGTTGCTTATTCTGCAAAGTGAATTATAGAACGGTCCATACCGCATCGTAATGTGTATACAAATTTAGAAATAATACAAAGCATTATCTATGTAGTTCGTGAATACACCTATAGATAGTAAAAATAGAAAAAAAAACGTGGAGAAATCGTACTAAATTTATGTGAGTTGTTTTTGTTATTGTTCTTCATGTGTGTGAGAGAGGGAGGAAAGGAGAAAAGACCAAAGAAAGCAACAGTGTAAAGTTTAAGTTTATCTGTAATATTATAGTTCAGTGTTTCAAAAAAACTTTTTAACAAAATTTCAAAGGGAAAAAACACAAAAATAACAAAGGAAAAAGTACTAAACCGTACTTAATTATAATATTCTCTCTTTTTTGTAACTTTTCCAAACAGAACTAAAGTCGTTGAAGATACAATAAAGCAAAGCATGAACCACACACAGATGTCTGAATTAGAGAACATAGCTGAGTTTCTAGGAGATACACCTGAGGGGAAAAGTCGAGACTCTCATGTTGGCAGAGAGGCAGGTAGAACTGGAGAAGGGGTTCAGATTCTGAGTACTCAAGGCACATTTTTCCAAAAACTTCCCCAAATTTCACTTGGCAAGAAGCCTTCTCATTCAACTTCTAGTTTGGTGAATCTCATTAATGGTTAGCAATTCCAGCCTCAGGATGCCAAAGAATCCTCAGCTGCCTGCTGGCAAGACTGCGGAGGGAAAGAGTAGGAAGGAAGAGCGGGTTCTAAGTTGAAGTCCGTCCTCAGACACTAAGTCGGTAAGTCGTTTCTCTTGGTGTTGCTGCGAAAGGTCTCTCAAGGATCCTTTCTGTGTAACAACTGACAATTTTTGTATACCCTCCAAGTCACAGGTTTTCTCACATTGATTTAAAAAATTTTGAGTGAAAATGTAAAAACCCTTATCTCCTTAGCAAGGCAAAGAGAAGGGAGGAGGGAGTGGGAAGGTGGTTTTGTGTGCCCGATCACCCATAAACTGAGAAAATGCCAACTGTGGGTGACATTTCTTAGAAATAGTCACTCTAGCGAGACGTTTAAAGGCTGAGTTTTGGGGAGTAAAGAAAAAAACTTTCTATTGAAGTATAGTCAATTTAGAATGTTGTGTTAATATCCAGTGTACAGCATAGTGACTCATGTATATTCTTTCCGTATTCTTTTTCATTATAGGCCATTACAGGGTATTGAATAGAGTTTCCTGTGCTATACATTAGAACCTTGTTGTTTATCTATTTTATATATAATAGTTAGTATCTACAAATCCTGAACTCCCAATTTATCCCTCACCAGCCCCATAACCATAAGTTTGTTTTCCATGTCTGTGAGTCTGTCTGTGTTTTATAATCAAGTTCATTTGTGTCTTTGTTTTTAGATTCCTCATATAAATGACATTATATGATATTTTTCTTTCATTATATGATATTTTTCTTTCTCTTTCTGACTTACTTCACTTAGTATGATGATCTCTAGGTCCATCCATCTTGCTGCAAATGGTATTATTTTATTCTTTTTATGGCTGAGTAGTATTCCATTGTATATATATACCACAGCTTCTTTATCCAGTCATCTATTTTTTTATAAATTAAAATCCGCAGTTTTTTAAACATTTTTATTGATTTATAATCACTTTACAATGTTGTGTCAAATTCCAGTGTTCAGCACAATTTTTCAGTCATACATGGACATATACACATGTATTGTCACATTTTTTTCTCTGTGAGCTACCATCAGATTTTGTGTATATTTCCCTGTGCTATACAGTATAATTTTGTTTATCTATTCTACAATTTTGAAATCCCAGTCTATCCCTTCCCACCCTCCGCCCCTCTATCCAGTCATCTATTGATGGACATTTAGGTTGCTTCCATGTCTTGGCTATTGTAAATAGTGCTGCTGTGAACATTGGAGTGCATGTATCTTTTCAAATTAGAGTTCCCTTCGAATACATGCCTGGGAGTGGGATTGCTGGGTCATAGGGTAAGTCTATTTTCAGTTTTTGAAGGAATGTCTGTACTGTTTTCCATAATTGCTGCACCAAACTGCATTTCAACCAACAATGTAGGAGTGTGTATACACGTACATACACATACGATACATAATATAAAACATACTTAACATATAATTACATATATATGGGGTTTTATTTTTGTATAGCCCTAGAGCTTGGAGGCTAGCCAGAGTGGAATTGTATCACCCTGGCAACCTCACTATCGGGGCATCCAGCCATAAATCTTTCTTGAGGCCTCCAAGCTTTCCTGGAATTCAGATGCTCCCTTGACAGCCATATGTTCTCAGAATTTTCCCTTATGTGGATTCCTATTCCCTTTGCCCAACCATCTGTTTAGCTGTGTGAGTGAATGCTTTTAAAATCTCCTGGGATTATGGTCTCCATGTATATGGTCACATCTGCTGGGACTGAGCACTCAGGTTTCCAAGACAAGGTGCAACTGTTTGTCTGGAATAGAGATAATCAAAAACTGGAAGTACTTCTAATTATTTTACTCAAGTTATTATTTAAGTTTCTGCTTCTGTCAAAGCTGATATTCTGAGCACACTGTTAGTAAATACTGAGATTCTACCTCATGTTTAATAAGACTTGAAAGCAATTTGAAAATGGACAAATATCCTCCATATAATAAAGGAACCTTACTGGAACTACCATCCTAAAAGCAGACTCAGAGATGGAGGGCTCAAGAACTGAGTCCTGTGTTGGTCTAAAGGTCACAAGGATCAGCCAGAGGCAAACATTTAAGAACAGGGGAAGTTGTGGTAAACCGGAAATCTGGAATGTTTTCATCCAATGGAATTCAGCCTCAAACTCAGGTGACAAGAGTTTTCTCTCTCTTCAGGGGCCAGCTGTTAAGTAGTGAAAGCATACAAGTAGAGAATAAAATAATCTTAATTTCTAGATCACCCTAGGATTGCTATATGCTTTTGCTTTTCTGTAAAATAATCATGGCATCATGTGCAAAGTTTCTCTGGATAGAATATCACTGTCAAACTTCAATTCATGAGATTCAAGCACACGGTTCTTATGGTGTCCCAGAAAACATCTTATGCAGAGTGCACTTGAAAGAAGCCACTAGAAAGGAAGTTATAGAATATGAAATCAGAGTAGTTTGAAGAATCCTTCCAGTACGCAGGAACCTGATCAACGGTAATAACACAGTAATAAAAATCAAGATGGTCCTTCATAAGCCAGAGGAGTATAGTATTATGCAGATCAGATAGCACCAGTCCTTGTGATTCTAGTAAGCTACAAGTACATATAAGGATCCTTGTCTCCTGCACCTGGTCCAGGAGCCACGGGTCAGTGGAATTGAATGATACTTATAATTTAATTGTGGTACTTGTGACAGAATGGAACCTCTCCTTATTGTTCTTTTCAGTGAGAACCACCACCTCTACAGGAAGTTGGAGGGCCTAATAAATCTCCTGATATTTTTACAGAGCATCTTATGGTAGAATACAAAATTGGAATGAATATTGACCCCAGGAGCCAGACAGATTTCATACTTGATTTTTTTTCAGCATAGAAACTGTCTCTTTGCTTCCTGAGGTGGAGTGGGGGGAACACTTCCTTGTAAATTGGCTATCTCTCTGGAATTCCTGAAACTGGGGTTTCAAATGATAGAAAATCCAGTAGGAAAAATTTTTCATGCTGGTGGCAAAATGAAAAACATGGACTCATCAGTAGATGATTGCACCAAATGCAGAAGCCCAGGGGGAAGATGTTTGATGGGTCTCCTTACCCTGAGTTTTGCTGGTGAATATTTCACAACTGGCTTTCCAGGGAAAAAGAATGCATGCACGCATACATTTAGGTTTATTATAAATTCTACCAATATGAAAGATCTGGGGCACACAATTTACAAATAATAAAATATACAATATGTTTATTATAAATTCCATATAGCCAGTTAATTCCCATGGAATACTGTCCTTTTTTATCAGGTTTGTGGGGGTTTGGGGTATAATTAAAAAAACAGAAATTCTACATATTTAAGGTTTACAATTTTCATTTATTTTTGTTAAACTCTTGTGTCTTTAGGCAACTTGGTTGAAATTCAACCATAGTTTGACGAATGGAATTGCATCCCAATCAGCCAACTCTTCCCAATATATTTATTATCATTAAATCTCATAGATGATCTGTGGTTGAACTATCTCTCACTCTCATACAAATTATATTCATTAACTGAAATCACTTTCAACTTCAGCACTATGAATTATAATAGTTCTTTTTTCTTTTTTAGTTTTTTATATAATTGCGGAGATTGGAACATTGATTCTACATTACTATCTACAAAATGCATAAGTTGTCCAAATTAACATCATGTTAGTAAAATTCACAATACCACTTCAGGGATACTAATATTTTTATATTATTTTTAATAACATATTTTAAGCTAAAATATTTACTCTGTTTTCCAGTCACATCTATAACTTCAAGTGTAATTTTTTATTTCTTGCAGAATCCACTAAGCTGTTATAATTCTATCCCAACAATAGTGCCAAAAAATCAGACTATAAATAAATGTTTGATTAATTTCCAATTAAGCAATGAAGTCACTCAACATCATGAATAACAAGTATAAATCCAACAATATTGTTTGATAAATTTCTTAAGTCCAGGAATTCAATAAATCAATACAAAATTTGTGGCATTTATCATTTTATGGGGTATAAAAACCCCTATCATGACCAATTTCAAGCTACCAACATGAAATCACTGAATTCAGAGTTAAGAAGAGATATACGCCTTTATTTGGTATTTCCACCATATACATGCAAGAGACATAAGTGATTTCAAGAACATAACTGACAGTAAAAGACATTGAAATAATAATGAAGTAAGCTTTCAATAATTCTTACCTTTTAAAAGTATAATTTATTTAATTCTAAATTTGCATAATTTGATAATAGTGACTATTTTTAACAACCAACTTGCAAAATTCCTAGAAGTTTTGAATCTGCTTTTGTGGGCCTATGTGAGTTGACTCCACAACCCCACTGCTTTATCCTATACTCTCCTCTGTGAAGGGGTCTGTTGGGGTTCTCTCTTGTTTTCCTGTCTCAATTCAGGTTCTGCTGTGCCTTCATCTGTTTATATAATTTTCACCTCTGATATAATGCAATATCCCTGAGGAATTCTGCCTGGTTCCCTTATTTCTCTTTTTAGGCCCTCCATACAGCCTTCTTCTACAAAAAGGTAACCACCCTCTCATCCAGAAATTACTAAATTTCTTGGATGAGACAACTCTCAGATGTCATGTAGCCCTCATCAAAGAGTACATGGAATGGAAAACTGAGAACTTGTTCCAACATTAATAGTTCAGGGCACGCAAAATATTAAGCCTCCATCCTTGGCTGCTAAAATGGGGTATATTTCAACATGTAGGCATTATTTCTGAACTTTGACCCAACTGCTAAGGGATGACATTTGATCATCCAGTTTTACCTCCATTTTCCCTGCTGGATTATATATATCATTTCAGTTTTTCCTTTAAGAGATTTATAAATTTAATAAACTGATCACTAAACATAATACAAAAATTGTAATTCTATACACAGCACCACACAAAAAGGCCCTTGGGTATTAAAGACCATAATATTGTACGTAGGAAAGATTTTTTTTTTTAGTTCTCTTATAAGCAAAAAGGTCTAGATCTCCATGTTAGTTGTTTCTAGACCTCTGTAGACATATCATCAACTTGTGGCCAAAAATGATATGGGATTAGAATTGTATCATCTTGTGATATATATATACACCATGGCATATTATTCAGCTGTGACTAAAAAGGATATCCTGCCATTTGCAACAACATAGATGGACATTGAGTACATGATGCCAAGTGAGATAAGCCAGAGAAAGACAAATACAGTATAATATCACTTATATGTGGATATTTATAACCCCCATAAATGGGTTATAAAATAGATGTGGAATCATATATGTGGAATCATAAATCAAACATATTAAAAAAAACAGTAAAACAGTGGTTACCAGGGGATGGGGGATAAGATTGACAGTGTTTAAGAGTACAAATTTATAACAAGCACTAAAATAGCAATAAAGATTAACTGTACAGTTTATTGAACATAGGCAGTAATACTGTGCTATAAGTGTGTAATGTGATAAATATTATTACAAGGGCAACCAGTTTACAATATATAAATGTATCAAAGTAACACAATGTACACCTTAAATTTTTACAGTGTTACATGTCAAAATTATCCAATAAAAATTGCATCATCTCATTATGCAAATTTGGCCCCTAATTATTGATGACGCATATATCAGCAGCACTCAGAGTGGGTCAGGTGGGAAGCAGTATGGGAGTCATCATGGATGCAAGAAGCCAGGTTCTTAGGTGCAGGAGAGGATGCCAGAGGAGCAGAGCTGTAGTAGCTCCGACAACAACAGCAATAAACTAGACAGCAACCACTGCTGGGCACCAGGCATGCGCAGTCTATCGAATCCTTACTAACACTTGATGGAGGTGCTGCTGCTGCTGCTGCTGTTGCTGTTACTGTTATTATTAGCAACAGATGGGAAACGGAGGCACACAAATTTGCTGCTGGTAGCACTTGGCATGTTAGGTAAATCACGGGCCTGGATTTGAATTTAGAAATGCCTTGCTCCAAATCCAGTGCTCTTAAATTGGCACACAGCACTCTAGATCCTAAATAATGAACGTTTCCAAACCCTAGGCACAGTACACCTGCTGTATTGAGCCAGGAGTGGGTAATGATCTTCCTTATACCACGTCCAGATGGAATGACCCAGCTCATGTTTGCCTGTTGCCGACTTTTAAATGTTTCAAGGGAGTCTCTTCTCGTGGCTGACACCTTGGATTACATATCGCTCTGATAGGTGAAAAATAGTCATCAGGAGAGAAGAACGCCATGGCCACCATGACAGAGCTGAGTCCCAAAGAAGAGAAGAGTAAATACTCCCAAGATACACAAGTGGATGAGAAACTCAGTCCCAGGAAAGGTAAACTCAACCTCGACTACTTGGTTTTAGGATTTTATGGTGGATTTTTACAATGTCTTAATACAAAGAAATGAATTTATATCTTTTAAATTGTTTAATTCTTTTTAAAAGCCAAGTACTATTAATGTACATTTGCAAATACATGAAGGAAACAAATATCACTATTCTAAAAAAGTATTTTATTTTTAATGATTACCATCTAATCTTAGTCCATATGCATTTACAGTCTTGATAATTGCTCCAAATAATCTACATATGGTATTGTGTATTTTGCTTTCTACTGCATGTAATATTGTGAACATAATTGAGTTTCTTAGTTAGGTCAAGTACAAAAAATTAATTACAGAAACTTTGAAAAATCAAGACATGAAAAAAGATCTTAATAAGCTTAATTCATCCACTGTAATTTGTTTTTATTGCTTTCCTTTATATGGATATTTTATGTAGTTCTGTACTGTATATATGATGTATTTTAAAAATTGGGCCACACATTCTTTTCCATTTGCTTTATAATGCTCACAATCATGATTCTTAAAGGATACATATTATTATATCAATATATCCAATAGGTAAAGTATTATTTATTTGAAAAATCCTCCTGTGGTTGACTATTTCAGTTGTGGAGTTATGTTTTTTTACCTACCTATCATTTAGATAGATTGGTTAATAGACAGATATAGATAGATAGATATAACACATATATATCATGATATCCTTTAGCATAACACCTGTCTACAGTTGGAATTATTACTTCCTCAGGGCTTTTTCCTAAGAAAAATTAAAATTTGAAGCAATAGTTATAAGTATTTCATTTCCATCAGCCACTGTAGAGGCCTTAGTTTTTAATCTGAACAAAAGTGAGGCCACAGAGAATTTTGAGCAGAAAGGGGTAATCAAATTTATAGTATGTTTAGAGCATTCCAAATGCTGTGCTGAGAGTAGCTGGGAACAGAAAGTCAAGTTGAAAGCTATTGC